AAAACCCAAAGAACACGCGGGAGCACGGCAGAACATACAGGAGCACGGCAGAATACGCAGGGCCACAGCAGAACACCCAGGGGCACGAGGAGCACAGCAGAACACACATCATGCACAGGAGCGTGTCAGAACACGCAGGAGCACGGCAATCACAGAACACACAGGAGCACGACAGAGCACGCCGGAGCACGACAGAACACACAGGAACGGTGCATAACACGCAACAACACGAGGAGCACGGCAGAAGACAACATACATAGGAGCGCGGCAGAACACACAGGAGTTCGGCAGAATACACAGGAGCGCGACAGAACACGCGCAACACACATACGAGCACGGCAGAACGAACAGGAGCACGGCAGAACACACAAGAGCACGGCAGAAATCACACGAGCACGGCAGAACACACATAAGCACGGCAGAGAACGCAGGAGCACGGCAGAACAAACGGGGGAGCACGCAGGAGCACGGCAGAACTCACAGGAGCACGGCAGACCACGCAGGAGCACGAGGCGCACGGCAGAACACACATAATACATAGGAGCACGGCAGAACACACAAGAGTTCGGCAGAACACACAGGAGAACGGCAGATACACAACACACATAGGAGCACGACAGAACAAGCAGGAGCACGGCAGAACACACAGGAGCACGGCATTGCACGCAGGAGCATTGGTGCTCGACGGGCGCCTAACGGCGGCCCAGCGGCGCGGCAACGAGAATGCTGACCGCCTTGCCAAGATGGGGGCCCTGATGCACGCAGTGGACAGGCAGACGGTCGGCGAGCACCACGCGCTGGCGGAGATCGTGCTGGAGCTCGGGCGCTGGGTCAGTCGGGCAGCCATCCTCTGGCAGGACATTGCGGCCAAGGACTGTGAAGGGCTGCCGCCTGCAGCTGAGCGACGCCAGGTTCGCTTCGCCGCTGCGGAGGCGTCGCAGGCAGCAGAGGAGGCCGCTAGCCTAGCGCCGAGCGCCAAGCGGCCGCGCCTGGAGAGCGCCCGCTCGGCAGGCAGCAGCGCAGCCGCCCTCTCGGCCAGCGCTGCAGCCTTCAGCATCCTGGGACACGCCCTCGCCTACGCCTGCTCGGGAGAGGGTGACGGAACCCAGGAGCTCGTGGCGTGCACCAAGTGTGGCGCCTACATGACGTTGGGGAGTCGCAGCCGCTCTGGCGTGAGGCCTCGCCTCAAGGAGCGGTGCCCAGGCGACAAGGCCGACAAATGTGGCAGGAACCGGCGCAGCCTGTGGCTTCGGGGACTCCATCCTGGTGGCAGGAGGCAAGAAGGGTCCCGAACTGCCAGGCACAGAGTGAAAGGAGAGGGCATCCCGGCTCTGCGCTCGCAGGGGCCGCTGCCAGAGCATGCGCAGGAGCAGTGCCTGGAGTGGCTTGGCATTGCGGCGGAGCCAGAGGTCGGCCCCTCGGCGGCAGCGAGCTCAGCGGGCAGCGCCTCCGCGGCGGCCGCGGCGCCCGCCGAGGCAGGGGGCCCAGATGCAGCGCCCGCGGTCGTGCCCGCGGCGGCCGCCGACGCCAGCCAGGCTCTGCGGCGGCCAGCCGCGGCGAGAGCGGCCCTCCTCGGGGCCTTCGGGGTCGCGGAAGAGGAGCTCGCCGCCGCAGCAGTGGCAGCGGTCGGGGCCCTGGAGGACCGCAGGGTACGCCGCCGCATTGCCCGCCGTGGCGCGCCGCCCGTCGGTGAGTGAGTGAGTGAAACAGTGCATCGTTGTGGCCTGCGCACGCTGCTCCCATAGGTGAGTAGGCTTCCGCCGCCCTCGGTGCCCGCCTGGCTCGGCCTCTTTCGGGGGCGCGGGCCCCGTCTGGGCCTGCCTGCGTTCTGGCCGCCACTTGCCTTTAAGGCCCCGTCTTTAACTTTAACTTTGCACACAGGAGCACGGCAGAACACATAGGAGCACGGCAGAGCAGGACCATGGCAGAACACGCAGGAGCACGGCATTGTACATAGGAGAAAGGCAGAGCACGCAGGAACACGGCAAAACACCAAGAACATCTATTCACACAGCCGCGCGCACAGGCACACGCATACAGGCACACGCACACATAGGCACACGCACACGCACACGCATACGCAGACACGCGCGCACACGCGCACACACGCGCACACACGCACACAGACACAGACATACACACAGGGAGGCAACATACGTTCACGCAGACCGCAGGAGCACGGCAGAGCAGCACGGCACAACACAGCAGTCCCGCAGAGCATCGCGCGCGGACGCACATGCACATATTCCAAGCACGCACGCGCACGCGCAGACGCACGCACGCCACGACAGATTTGCACAGCGCATTCTAAGAACGTAGGATATCACGTAAGCCCAGGACACAACGGGACGCTTCCCGTTCTTGTCCGGTCGGGTTCCCCGTAGGTTCAACGGGAAGTCAATTTCTGGGTAACTCAATTCTGTAGTCCATCCCCCACTCGAGCCGCCCATGGGGGCACGAGTTCTTCCAGATCCCTCGGACCCCGCTTCTCCCCTCGGTGCGCCCTCTGTCCTCCCTCCCCCTCCCCCCTCGTCTGCGCACGTGCCTCGGGCCATGGCGCACCAGCCCCCCTCTTCCTGTCCCCCCCCCGCCCCCCTTTGGCACTGCTCGGACGTGTGCGTTTTTTCTCTTCGGCGAGGACCATCGGGGAGCATTTTGGGCCATCTTGCGAACAAGGACACGCAGGAAACCGAGCAAGTGCACGGGGAATGGACGTCCGAGCGATGGCAGACCCCATGCGGTGCACCTCCGAGGGGGGGGGGGGGGGGGGGGCGGTGGAAGGGGCGGGCGTGGAGAGGTCGAGGAGGCGGCCAGAGCGGGAACGGCGAGGGGCTTCCCGCCACGGCGCTTCTTCTGGGTGCCCGAGGGTGGCCGGCGGGCCCCCCCCCCTCGGAACGCCAGAGGAAATCTTCCTGGGGCCACGACGCTTCCCTGGAGCGCCTGAAGGTGCCAGCCATATCGCTTCCTTCGGTCACCCAGAGGTACCGCCAGTACGCTTTCTTGGAGCGCCTGCGCCCAACGATACCTGCCAGGCATGGGTTGGTCACGCATGGGTAGTTTTGATCTTGCCACCCTCGGCCACACGGAGGGGAGTAATGTGGCATAGTCCGGTCGTCAGCAGGGTGCAGTTGGACTGTCAAGTCGCCTTCCATCTGCGTCCCTCCGGCACTGCCACGGAATGTCATTTGCTTCAGCGCATGGCGCAGACCTGGTTAGTGCCTGCTTGCCACCGCTATCCGCCTGGCTCCAAGTTTGTCTCCCTGTGATCCTCTCTACTCCGTATTGCATTGGCGCAATCCTGACGCCTTGGTCGCGTTTTCCTCATACAAACGCGGGTCTTACACAAGTAGCAGGTCGGGTTCGGAGATGACTCGCTATTCTTCAGGTGCTCCCAGGGTTGTTCGTCCAGTAGTGCTCCTCGTGCACCCTGGCGCCTTCGGAGCCCGAAGGGGCTAAGTTCTTTGTTCAGCGTTCATAATAGCAGCACGATGGTTGTAATTACCTCGCAATGTGCAGTATTGGGATCTTCACATACTTTCCAGAAGGGTAATTGGCCTTACCATGTTCATTTCCACCTCTTATTCCGTCTCTTATTTTTCGCTCCACTGTTCGATCCGCATTGTTCTTGCAACAAGTGAGGGTTGCGTCACTTGTTCTTTTCCTTCCCAGTGACATCGGTCCAACTCGACGGCGCAGCTGTTTGTTCCACCGTCGGTTACAGTGATGCACGCACCACGACTCCGCTTGACGTCTCATCCGTCCTTGCTTCCTCGGGGATCTGCATGCTGTTCTTGCGTGTCGGGATGGATCATGCACGAGCCCTTCGCATTGTTAGGAAGACAATATCTGTGTACTTCCTTATTCTTATGTTTGTAATACATATGTAAATGTATGTGTGTGTGTGTGTCTGTTTTTTTTTGTGTGTTGTGTGTGTGTGTGTGTGTGTGTGTGTGTGTGTGTGTGTGTGTGTGTGTGTGTACGGCGTCGTTGTGTTGATCACTGCCTTGTCGAGCTGTGCGGGCTGCGCAAACTAGGTGGTTTTCCCCTCCGGCGTTGGGGGGGGGAACCGAGGCGCCACCGTACGGGATACTCTTGGACGCTGCGTGGCCGGAAGTGGGTCATGCCCTGCAGATTTTGGGCTTCGACTACTCCTCTTTGCTCGCCAGTCGCGGTCTATTTGCCCCCTCGCTCACTGCGGTAGGTTCGCGTCGCGTCGACGCGGCTGCGACCCCGCCGCAGGCGTTCAAGGTTGAACACCGCAGGTGGTCCAGAATCGGGCAATCTGGAAAGATCTTGCGATCTAAAGGTCGCCGATCGTTCAAGGTTGAACCATCCACGCGCTGTCATAACACAAAGCCAGGGGCGTCACTGTACGAGCCTGCCGTAGCCATCGCACGATGCTCCGGCAGGGTGGTGTCTCCTCGTTGCCAGTGGGCGCTTCCACACTTCGCGGTGGCGGTAGGGCGACCCACAGTCAATCCCCATAGTAAGGATTAGCAGCTTTTTAAAGCTATTCTTGCATCCTTACCCTTCGGCCTATCCTTGGCCGCGCTCGCTGGCCGCGCCCCGCCCGCAAAGTGCCGACATAGCCCTCCAAGGCCCTTGCATCCTTACCGTGCGTCCTTGTTGTACGGCATGGCTGTAGCCCGCTTCGCCAGCTCCTGTCCTCGTCTCCCTCCCGCTCCCTCGACGACGACCACGACCACGACCACGACCACGACGACGACCACGACGACGAGGACGATGAAGAGGACGACGACGAGGACGAGGACGAGGGCGAGGACGAGGGCGAGGACGACGACGAGGACGACCACGATGACGACCACGACGACGACGACGCCTTGAACCTGGGGCGCCTCGACCGTGGACCCACGGCGGAGCGGCGGCGTCTAGGCAACTCCGCGGTGCTGTCCTCGGCGTCGACGTTTTGCTTTTGTTGTTAAGGCTATTCGCCTGCCAGTTCCCCTGGCCGCCAGCATGCTGATCTGTTGGCTCCTCAGGTTCAAGCAGATCCCCTACACGATGGCCAAGTTCGTGGTGCAGCAGCAGGCCGCGGGAAGCCGGGTCAGGAGGGCTCTGGGACGATTGCGCGTCTCATTCACACGGTGCGCGTCGCATTCACACGATTCGCAACCGATTCATGGCCTCAGTCATCCGGGCTAGGTTTGGGCCTCCTTGCGAGAAACCAGCAGAGAGAGAGAGAGAGAGAGAGACGCCCTGTAAGCGGTCAGCCCGATCGTAGGTCGCTTCTCCAATGACAGAACTGCCCTTATTCTTGCCAGGGAATCATGAGCTCGAGCACTGGGAGGTACTTAGGATGCTATCTGCAATCTGCAGCGCCTGCACAGACCAGCAGTGTACATGGAGAACGCATGTTTTCGCAGGGGGGACCACGCAGAGGACCTCAGACCATCAATCAGGGTGTTGGGTTTTTTTTGATGCTGACAGGCGCAGGGGAGTCACCATTCTCCAAGATCTCGAAGCTGTTTCCCAGGTGGTCCCACCTTTCAAGGCTCTCGTTCTGTCTCCCTGGGAGGCGCATTTCGTCTGGCGCCCAGTGGGGGCTTGGTTAATTCTTTCAGCCGTTGCTTTGTTTCCGCGCTGGCTGTCAGTTGACCGATTGGTCTATTTTATCGCATTTAGGTAGGGGCACGCATGACCCAGCGGGACAGCGCAGGGGAGTGAAATTTTTGATTCTTCGTGTATCCCTGTCAGCCCATCGATGCTCATGATAGTTTTTTCTTCCGTTCCTCCTCCCTCTTCCCATCCTTTCTGCCTCCTATTCCTGGCGTCGCCCATTCCTGCTCTCCTCTCACACGGATCCGGTCCCATTTGTCGCGCCAGCGCCCTCCCGCTCATTTTTGCACACCTCTCCCGCGGATCATGCCACACACAGAGCTCCATCTACGGCCCAAGCGGGCACGCCCGCATGGCTTCCCCACTCCCATGTCTGCACAACCCTCACACGCATGATGCCACAAAGGCAGTTTCACCCACGGGCCCACCGGGTAAGTTCGCACAGCGCCAACCTGCCCATTTCGGCACACCCGTCACACGGATTGTGCTTCATAAGGCGCTCCAACTACGGCTCCCGTGGGCAAGTTCGCATGCGGGTCTCCGCCCATTTCAGCGCCCCCTCAATCGGATCGAGCCCCACAGGAAGCTCCACTTGCAGCCCCGGCCTGCGCGCTCGCATGCGGGTGTCCGTCCATTATTTCGGCAGCCGCTTTACATGGATCGTACCTCACAGGGGGTTGAGCTCGCTCCTGCGCGCTTGCTTCGCAGTCTACTCCCCGTGGCGCGCAGCATATGAAGAGATGGCCACGCCCAACGCTGCACGCAGCTGGGCAGGGTTGGGCCTTTCGCCAGACCTTTTTGCATCAGTCGCGCCTCTGGGCTCCCCGAGAGGTGCTATGAGCGGGGGTGCAATGCCAACAGGCAGGGCTGCTCACGTTCCGATTCGATGCGATCCGATCCGACACGAAGCGATTCCCTCTCCAGCCTGCAGGGGCCGAGCCCGATCCGCGATCCCAAACGATCCGATCCCGATGCGACTCCGCGCCGATTCATGCGCGATCCGATCCGTTTCCGATCCGATCCGGTTTCGCGATTCGGCCCAGCTGAGACCTGCCAGCGGCGTGGCGCGCCGCCACAGGCAGCGGAATCAATCTATGCCGGCATCGGCCAGACGCCTAAGACGATGGGCGCGATGGGCAACGTGTCGGTGTCGCTCGGGCGCCATCTGTTTTCTGCTCATAGGGCAAGGGTGCATGAGGGATGGAATGGTGTGTGGATCGGCGTTTGATGGAAGATGTGTGTGACACGATGGCGACGAGGATGGTTAGCCACGAAGTCGAAAAGGGTCCCGAGGGAAACGGGTTCCGAGGTGCCTTTTGCCGCTCTCGGGCTCCCCGAGCCCTCCACGGGCCCACGGACAGGAGGACGACGGGGGCCGGCTGATCTTCCTGTTTGGCACGATGCGCGAGGTATGACACAGATGGAGGCAGGACGGAACCGGTCAACGGTCAGGAGCACATCGTGGAGAGTAGGGAGAGCACGCAGGAGGGCGAACAGTGCGCATCCCAGAGCGCACCAAGAGGCAGGCAGCGCAGAGGCGGAGGGAGGCGCCGGGTGGAACAACACGCGGAATTATGGGATTCCACGCGGGATGGCGCAAGAAGACCGAGGAATTTCCACGCAAGATGAGGCAATATTTTCACGTGGCATGATGGGATTTCCATCTCTAAGGGTACCGAGATGACAAAAGAAAGCGCGCAGCACCGCCCTGCAGGAAGCGGACATACATCTGGGGAAGAGCGAAACGGAGAGGAGGCGGGGGGAGAGAAAATAAGGGAGCAGACGATACATGTTTGAGTGTCCTTTTGGCGTGCTGGGTGGTCCTGTGGTTGTTCTGGGGGCCCTGGGTGAATGTGGTGTGGGAGGAGGGGGGAAGAGGGGAGAGGAGACGGGGGAGGAGGAGGGGAGAGGAGCTAAGAAGGAAGAGGAGGGGAAGTAGACGAAAGATGAGAAGAAGGATTAGGATAATGCGGATGCTGAGTTCCCAGTTCTAGAGCACCTTGTTTTTCAAAAGGGGAAGTCTCAGTCATCAGACTGTGCCCCTGGCTCCGGTTTTTACACCAGCGGCTCCCGCCTGTTACTTCCTCACAATTCATTCCGACTGGCGCTCTCGCTCGGGAGTTCCTCACAAATTATTCCAGAATCAGAATCGCACTCGCGCGTTGTTTTTCTTGCAATTTATTCAGACGCCGCGCCCTCGACACTCATGAATCACGCTCCCGCTGTTGTCTTTCTTACGGTTTATCCGTAAGGGCTTCGCCCCCATGCCGCCGGTCCCCCGTCTTAGAATGGGACCTGCCAGGGCTGTGTTGGGATGTCTTGGCGCTGACGTGAAGCAATGTCGGGACTTCATAAACTGCGGAATATCTTACAAGTACGAATCTTGCATACTTTTCGAGGGTTTATGACTTCGGGGGCGCGAATATTGGATACTCTACAAGGATTTGTTTCGGGTACGCGGACATTGTATTCTTTACGAGAATGTATGGCTTCGGGGAAGCGAATATGGTATGATTTACGGAGGTTTATGGCCTCGAGGGCGCGAGTATAAAGTAATTTACAAGGGTTCATGGCCTCGGGGATGCGAATCTTGTATGATTTATATGGGTTTATGGTCTCGGGAGCGCGAATATGGTATACTTTACAAGGGTTTATGGCTTCGGGGACGCGAATTATGGTTTCGGGAACGCGAATATTGTATAATTTGCGAGGTTTCATGTCCTCGGGGACGCGAATCTTTTGTAATTTATTTGGGATTATGGCCTCGGGGACGCGAATATCATGTATTTTTACTTGTCCTCGCCCCCTCAGGAATTCAAACAACGCGATCTGGGTTTGTGAAAAAAGCTGGTTTGGGGCTCCCTACCCTCGCACGTTCAGCAACAAGTGACAGTAAGGAAGCAGAAAGCAGGACTGTAACAGAGGAAACTGGAAGCTGCAACTGGAACAGGGAGCTGCAATACTCACCCTCGCAGCCTGGTGGCCCCGCAAGGGGGCCGGCGGACTTGGGAATCGCGCTATCCCTCGAGACTTCCTCGCAATTCATGCAGGACTCACGCTTCAGCAACCCGTCTGCTTGACCTGGCCACCTGGGCCCGCCCGCCCGACCCGCTCGTTAGGGTCCGCCCGCCTGACCCAACCTTCTGGTTCTGCCGCTTGCCTTCCTGTTCCTAGCCCCCCTCCTGCTAATTTCTCTTGTGCTCCATCCTTCCCTCTCCTCGTTGTCCCCTTCCTCTTCCCTTCCCCTGTTGTTGGGGCCGTGCCATCTACACGTGGCAAGTAAGGAAGATATGCCCCCAAGGGGTATGATCTAAGACGAAAGGGGGGGAATCGAAGGTTCGGCACATTGATGCAGAATGACACGCGAGCAGATGAGAGCGACCAGTCTTAAAGTGATTGATACGATTCAATTTTTTATTTAAACAGTTTATCATTGTGGATCACCCTTCCGGAGCCTATTGTTTTTTTTTTGGTTGAAGGGCCACTTTAGGGTTTATACTTTGTTGTTTTAAAAGGAAGATCTTGCGCCTCAGATTTGGCCCCTAGCTTTCGAACCACAGCAACAACAACAGCTCCCGCCTCATACTTCGTCAACATTTGTATTCAAAATCGCACTCTTGCGTGGGATTTCCTCACAATGTATCCAGGAATCGCGCTGTCACGGGGTACTTCCTTACTGTTTATTGAGACGCCGAGCCTGCTCTCGCTCTGGTTCTGCCGCTTGTTCTCCTGCTCCTAACCTCCCTTCTGCTACTCTCTCTCGTACTTCATCCTTCTCCCCCTTGCCACTTCCCTCCTTCCTCCCTTCTCGCACTCCTTTCCTCCTCGCTCTCTCTTGCTTTCTGTCTTCCTCCTCTTCCTGTTTTAGGGGCTGCGCTGACTAGACGTGGCATGTAAGGAAGATATACCCTCAAGGAGGGTACGATCGAAGACGAAGAGGACGGGTATCGAGGGTTTGGGATATTCGTTGATTGACACGCGAGCGAATGAATGGGAATATTATGAAAAAGATAGTTACTTTTCATTTATATGTTGTTGTTGTTGTTGTTGTTGTTGTTGTTGTTGTTGTTGTTGTTGTTGTTGTTGTTGTTGTTGTTGTTGTTGTTGTTGTTGTTGTTGTTGTTGTTGTTGTTGCTGTTGCTGTTGTTGTTGTTGTTGACCCCCCCTGTGGCCATGGTGCTTTTTCAATAAAAGTGCTCCTCCTGGGGCTCGCACCTTGTATTTCACAAGTAAATTCTTGAGCTTCAGATTGGCTTGTCGGCCCTCAGTTTACAACAAGAACAACGGCTCCCGCTTGATATTCCCTCACAATTCCTACCAAAATTGCGCTCTCGCGCGGGACACCCTCATAATGTATCCAAGAATCGCGCTCTCGAGTGGGACTTCCTTGCAGTTTATTCAAACGCCGCGCCCTCGACACTCAGGAATCACGCTCTCGCTTTGGCCTTTCTCACGATTTACTTGGGAATTGTGCCATCCCTCGAGACTTCCTCGCGATCCATGCAGGACTCACGCTTCAGCAACCCGCCTTCTCGACCTGGCCGCCTGGGCCCGCCCGCCCGACCCGCCCGTTAAGGTCCCGCCCGCCCGACTTGCCCGTCTGGTTCTGCCACGCATTTCCTGTTGCTAGCCCCCCCCTCCTAGTCTCGCTCGTGCTCCATCCCGCTCCCTCCCCTCGTTGTCCCCTTCCTTCCACCCGTCCTTTTTTCTCCTGTTTCAGGGTCTGCGCCAAATACGTGGCAGGCAAGGAAGAGACCTATACGACCACCCTTCGGGTGATAAGGAGGTTGTTGGTGGGTGGGAGAGGAGGGGGGGGAACCAACATCAGACTCAATCGATCTCACTATCGATCTCACTCAGCGGGACACCACGGGACACCACGGGACACTTGTCGATCTCACTATCGATCTCACTATCGATCTCACTCAACGGGACACCATGGGACACCACGGGCCACCACGAGACAACACGGGACACCGAGGGACATCTCTCGATCTCATTATCGGTCTCACTAGCGATCTCACTATCGATCTCTCTCAACGGGACACCGTAGGACACCACGGGACACCTGTCGATCTCGTTATCGATCTCACTATCGATCTTACTTTTTGGGACACCACGGGACACCGCTAGGGCCACCGCCAGACGGACGGACGGACGGGGGAGAATCATTTGTCTTGACTTCGCGCTAGCAACGGCGGACACCACGGGACACCACGGGACACCACGGGACACCACGGGACACCGCGGGACACCGCTAGGGCCACCGCTGGACGGACGGACGGGGGAGAATCATTTGTCTTGACTTCGCCCTAGCAACGGCTGGTTCATTCCTCTCGAACGCCCACGCATCTTCGCCTAGCCCGCACGCACGACACGAACGAAACGAAACGATTTCCCGGTTGAGGGTCTCCGTTCCACTGCGATCTCACTCCGATATCCTTAAGCGGCTACGGTGTAAGACGAAGAGGGCGGGCACCGAGGGTCTGGGATATACGTGTTGAGTGGCACGCGAGCAGATTCGAGCGAGCAGTCTTAATGATTTTTCATTTGAAGTGCTCCTCCCGGGGCTCCCACCCTGTCTGTTATAAGAGAAAGCTTGGTGTAACCAGATTGCCTTGTTGGGTTCCGAACCACAGCAACAACGGCTCCCGCCTGATAGTTCCTCATAATGTATTCCCAAATCGCGTTCTTGTGCGGGGTTTCTTCACAATGTCTGCAGGAATCGCGCTCTCGCGTGGGACATCCTGGCAATTCATTCAGACGCCGCGCCCTCGACTCTCAGGAATCACGCTCTCGCTTTGGTGTGGGCCCTCCCGGTCGCGCCGGGCCCGCCCACGTCGCCCGTGCCCCACGTCTTGGAGGTGGCGGCCGCGGACAAGTCCTCAGGAGACACCTGGTACACCAGCTCCTCGCGGAGCAGATGCATTGACGTGCATTGCTGGAAAGATGCGGGTGCAGTCATGGGCAGGCCGAAAACTCCATCGCTGTAAGGGAAGTCGTCGGGAGAACACATGGACCAGAGCTCTGGCTGTACATCGAAAGCGGTCTCGTGGCGGTGCCTTAGGCATGCCCCTCCACGCCTCCCAGTGCCTCCGACTTGCCCTGCTCTTCCGAGTTCTTCAACGCCTCATCGTGGCCAATGATCTGGTGCGCCAAGCTGCGATCGAGCATGCCTTTGGCGCTGACCTGCAGCTGTTTGATCAGGCGCCAGCGCGGGCGGCCGTTGCCGGAGGCCTCCTCGCGCATGGAGGCTTGCAGGGTCTCGAGTTCAGCATGCACCTTGCGGACCGCCTGGAGCTCGTCGAGGTCGTCGCTGGTCGCGGCATCGACGCATAAAGACATGGCTGGGAGCGCCTCGGCGGGGAAATCGGGTCGGGCAGCGCGGCGTTCGGATCGTTCTCCCCCTCCTCCTTCGCCTCCTCCTCCTCCTTCTCCTCCTCCGCCTCGTGCACGGACGCGCACTCCTACCCGTCCACTCACGAAGCTCTCGTGGGCCGCGGCGCAGGCGTCTGCGGGGCTCTCCATCAGGTGCTCCAGCTGCTCCGAGACCTCGATGGGCATTGCGATGCGTCGCACGGCCTCGGGGACGGACCCGGCGTCGCTCATGTCGGCGTCAGCTCTGGGTTGTTGAAGGTCATGTCGCTGCACGAGGCCGAATGGGAGGTGAAGAAGCCGGCGGCGCCCATGTACTCGCCTCTTCGCATGTTGGCCATCCAGGCCCTGCTCAGGTCGTCCACGTCGGCCCCTGCCAGCGCGATGACGACGCCCCCGGCTTGGAATCGCTGCGCCTCGGCAGGAGGGGCGGGAAGCTCGCGACTGTTCGGGAGATCCACCTCGCGAGAGGTCCACAGAGGCACCGCACGGGCAACGCGCGCCAGCCATGGCAGAACCCCACCGCCACCATTGAACGAGAAACAACCAAAAAATCTGATGGCTGGCGCGCGCCCCCAGGAGTGCAGTCTGAGATCCCCCAATCTTGGCCTGCGGGAAGCATGTGAAGTTTCCGACAGGCCCCCCCTGCCGTTCGTCTCGAGGACCTCTCTTCTCGGGCTCGGCGATGATCTTGTTCACGCACGCGCGGCCCCGGGCCAGCGAGCGCACCTCCGTGTCCCGCAGTGGTTCGCCGCCAGGTCGGAGAGGAAAGGTTGCTCAGGTTACTCGGCCAATCCAGTTGTCCTTCGCCAGCGCATTAGTTGGCATTTCCGCTTCTGGCGCGCCCGTCAGCAATTTGCCGCCATCGAGAAAGACCTTCACGAAGGGCGCCCGCCCGTGGAGCAGCCATCGCCACTCGGACCTGTGGGCGCACGACGCGCTGGAGGCCCACGGCTCGTGCCGCGGGACGAGCGGCCATCTCGCGGCACAGCGCTGCACGGCGAGAAACGCGTGGACCCTCGCGGCGGCCTCGGGGCGCGCGGCGAAGCGAGCCTTGCGCGGCGGGGCCGTGCCCTCGGCCGGCGGCAATGCCGGGGGGCCCTGGGGTTGCGTGCCCGCGGGCACGTCCTCCGCGCTACCCCTGGCGCCGTCTGCCTCCACCCTTTGCCAGCTTTGTTTTCGAGCAGGTTCATCTCATAAAGGTTAGGGGTTTTGATTCAACGCTATGGTACTTGATGGGAGCAGCCGCTCCACTTTCAAGAGCACGTCTCCATTCTTCAGCTTCTTCCAAAAAGATTTCTAGATGCTCCGCCAGTTTCTCCCCAGCGCCCGCATCCTGCTCGGGGTCCACGGGCTTCACGAACAAGTCCGCGTCGAAAAGCTCCTCCGGCCAGAAGGAGCGCGCGCAGACAACGCAGCCGCTCAGGGCGTGGCAAATGGCTGGGGCGACCTCCTGCCCTCGAAGTGCCCTCCCAATCCCGCCCCCAGCGGGCTCTGCGTCTGATTCTCTGCGAATCGTCCGAGCGCGCGGCGCTGCTCCGCGCCCCAGACCTCGAACTGCCCCCCCGTCTGCTCGTCCGCGAGCCTTGTCTTTCGGATTCCCCCCGCAACTCGCCGCGATTCCAGCGAGCTCCGCTCCACCTCTGGCATGTCTACGTGCCCCTCCCACCAGTGCTCCTGTAATGTAACAACTTCTTCGCGGTGATATCCTGGCCATGCAGGTAGCGCGGGCACGGCTGGCAGCGCGCGGGCTCCCTGAGCCACTCGCGCCGGCTGCCGAGAATTGCGCCGTCCGGGACATGGGCCTCGGTCTGGCGGACTGTGTCCCGCAACACAATGGCCAGGACCACTCTCTCCCAGGGGACCAAGTCCCGGGGCGAGAGCTGAGAGCTGCCGGCGCAGCAGGAAGCCGTGCTCGTCCCTGACATCGCCCAGCCGCGCGCGGCGAAGAAGCTTCAGGCCGTTGAGTAGCAGGCGATCGGGATCGTCTCTCGTCCTGGTCGAGGGCCTCACGTTCATGTGGCCATGCTCCTCGTAGTGCGCCTGCAACTGCTCGCGTACTGGGCCCGCCTGCCACTCGGGCCGCTGCGCCTCCCGGATCCTGTCGAGCAGCTGCTGCCACTGCGCCGCGTCGCCTGGCGAGAGCTGCGCGCCCGTGGAGGCGCTGGCGCGCCTGCGGGCCAGCGCGCTCTGCAAGTAGCGGCGGGCCCAGAGATCGTCGCCACCGAGGAGGTCTGCGTCCAGAGGTCGCGCCGCTGGATGCCTTCGTCCACCGCGCGCAGGCGTAGATTCTCTGGACAAGATCTGACGAGCAGCTCCTCTCGCAGCGAGTGCATGCCGTGACGCTTGTTGATGTATTTTGACGCCGCGCGCGCCCGTGGCATTGGCCTCGCGCAACGCGGCCGTGGAGGTTCACGTCCGCCGCCGAAGCGCCGCCCTCCGCTCGGCATCCATGGCGGTCGCAGTGCCCGGGGCGCACTGTCGGGCCTGGCGGGCGGCCGCCAGCGTGTCCCTCACGACCTGCTGTTGCTTCCTCTTGTGGGTGGAGGCATTGAAGACTTGGGCCTCTTCCTCCACCCAGTCATCATCGATCGCCGTTCCCTCCTCGATCTGTCTCTGCCGTTCCGTGCGGCGGGCGCTTTCGAGGTCATAGCGGTTGCGCATCAGGCGCTGTCGCAAATCATCCGTGGTTGGCCGCGTTATTGGACGTTAGTCAGTGGGGCTGGCCGTGCCTATCGTTGCAGTGGAAGCCTTCATCGTCGCGAAGTGTATAGGAGCTTTTCCATTGGAAGCGATATTGCCGAATATTTGTCCCGTTTGTCCTCGAATCGCTAGGCGCTGCCATTTTTTCGCTGTTTCTTACAGCGGCTTCCTATTTTATCGTCGTCCTCGCCGTGTTTCTCCTCATCATCCTGCTGAAGTTTCGTCTCCCGTATCATCCTTTTCGTCCTCTTTCCTCCTTCATTCTCTGCGTCTGTGGGGGTGGGGGGTTTGTGCTTGGAATCTTTGGGCTCTGGCGGTGCGCGGTTGTATCGACGACGCCCCAGCTGCTGGGTCAGAACCTGATGCGTTTTGTTTCACGCAAACTCGTTGATATCCTCTCTTACCTGAGTCACGCCAGTCTCAAGCTGGCCAGCCTCCAGCATCAGGGGCAGGATCTTCCACGCAGAAGCCTGAAGACATCTGCCTGTTTTGGCTCCCTTCCTCTCCCCTTCTCCCCTTCTCCCCCGCTCCCCCCTCCTTGCCCACGCCCTCGTCATCTTCGAAAAGCGTCCTGGGCGACAAGCGTGGGGAATCCATCAGGGTCGGTTGCGGGGTTGGTTGGGGGATTGGTTAGGGGTTGGTTACAAGTTGGCGGGGCTCACCTTCCATCCATGCCCCTTCCGCCATCAGGTCTCCTTCCTTTCCGCTCCTCCCATGCGCTCCGCTTTCTCTTCGTTGACCTCCCCCGCTCCTGCCCGTGCCCGTGGATGCAACCAGATGCGGCGGGGGAAGATGAGGTGAAGAGAGAAGGGTAGTAGTAGTAGTAGTAGTAGTAGTAGTAGTAGTAGTAGTAGTAGTAGTCGTCGTAGTCGTAGTAGTAGTAGTAGTAGTAGTAGTAGTAGTAGTAGTAGTAGTAGTAGTAGAAGTAGTAGTAGAAGTAGTAGTTAGTGGTAGTAGTAGTAGTAGTAGTAGTAGTAGTAGTAGTAGTAGTAGTAGTAGTAGTAGTAGTAGTAGTAGTAGTAGTAGTAGTGTAGTAGTCGTAGTCGTAGTAGTCGTAGTAGTCGTAGTGGTAGTAGTAGTGGTAGTAGTAGTCGTAGTAGTAGTCGTAGTAGTGGTAGTAGTAGTAGTAGTAGTGTAGTAGTAGTAGTAGTATAGTAGTAGTAGTAGTAGTAGTAGTAGTAGTCGTAGTAGTCGTAGTAGTAGTAGTAGTCGTAGTAGTAGTAGTAGTAGTAGTCGTCGTCGTCGTCGTCGTCGTCGTCGTCGTCGTCGTCGTAGTAGTAGTAGTAGTAGTAGTAGTAGTAGTTGTTGTGGTAGTAGTAGTAGTAGTAGTAGTAGTAGTAGTAGTAGTAGTAGTAGTCGTAGTCGTAGTCGTAGTCGTAGTCGTAGTCGTAGTCATAGTCTGAACGCACGGGCTCGCCCCTTGCGCTCATCGTGGTGTGAGCGGCGAGTTTTATTTTGGCTGGGCCTTCCGCTACTGGGCTCGTGCCTATCCCCTTCTCCCGTGAACTTCGAAAGCGTGCCAATTGTTGCCTCTGCGCTTCACGCTGCCAGCGTTGCTGCCAGGACGCGCACGCCGAGCGTGCCGACTCGCAGGACACGCGCGTCGGATTAGCAGCGCTGCTGGCAGGAAGCTCATTCCGAGCGTGCTAGCTCACATGGTGGAGCTCGTCGCGCGGCCAAAGATTTGGGCCAGGCTGAGTCCAATCCAAGCATGCCACCTGCTAGCGCTGCTGCCCTGAAATTCAGTCCGAGCGTGCTGGCTCGCTTCTGGCGCGCAATTCTTTTCCTGGCAGGGTTGGTTGTTCCAGGTTCGCCCGAGGGTTTGGCCGCGGTAATTCTTCGATGCGCAATCTCCTCCGCAATCTGTGTATTCTTATGGTCTTGGCTCGTGAGCCATCTCCACGTCACGTTCTCGTCCGTGCGTCCACCTCGGTTTCTTTTCAGTCGTTCTTCCCTTTTGTGCTCCAACCCCAGATCCGGCGTGATCGCTGGTGTGGCCGCCGCGATCATCTCCCACCCGGCGGACACTTTGCTGTCTAAGATCAACAAGGCGCTGCATCTAGATACTTATGAACACGCGGCAGCGGTTTTTTACGGTTTGCGAAAAGAGGCGAAGATGGTGATTGAAGTTTGGGGAATCGAAGGATGAATGAGGAGGTGAGGAGAAGGATGGAAGGCAGGAAAAGGAGAAGGAGGAGAAACATTATCCCAGTGCGACCCTACCTAGGAGTTGGAGCATCTAGGAAAGCAACATGCTATGCTATGCTATGCTATGCTGCGCTATGCTATGCTATGCTATGCTATGCTATGCTATGCTATGCTGCGCTATGCTATGCTATGCTATGCTATGTTATGCTATGCTGCGCTGTGCTATGCTAAGCTATGCTATGCTATGCTATGCTGCGCTATGCTATGCTATGCTGGGCTATGCTAGGATATGCTGTGCTGCGCTATGCTGTGCCACGCTATGCTATGCTAGGCTGTGCTCTGCTATGCTAAAGCTCAGCGAAGCTAAGATGAAGGTCAGCTAAGCTAAGATAAACCTGAGCTAAGATGAAGCTAAACTAAGCTCAGCTTACATAGCCTAAGCTAATATGAGATATGCAACGCTAAGCTAAAGGGACGTAACTGGGGGAACCGCGGGGCGGATCCTGGGGGAACCGCCCGGGGCGATCTAGACTGCCCGGCCCTTTCAGCTCTAAAGTAAGAGCCCTTCTAGGCAGAGCCTAGGTAGGGAATTAGAAAAAACACTGAGGAGAGATGGATGAGAAGGAAGGGGATCTCCCCAAACGCCAGGAACCCTCGACCCCAGCTGCCCGCCGTCAAAATTCAGAGGGGTGGTCAG